CGTTACATTTTCTTTGATACATGTATCCCCAAACTCCACTAGTCTTTATTCACCATTGTGGTTATTCACTGTTCAGTGACCACATGTCCTCTTTGTTTCACATTTGGTACCAGCAACTGGTCCGTTAGCTCAGTCGGCAGAGCATGGTGCTGATAACGCCAAGGTCGTTAGTTGGAACCTCACACGGACCAGACAGTTGCCAATGTTTTCCCCAGATTTGTCAACAATTATGTTGAACAATTTTTTTTCTGTGTTCACCTCGATCATGTTTTTCCCTTGGTGATCAACGGTTAAAAATTCATAGCCTTTTGTATAGCTTAAGTACCTAAATGTAACTCCGGACTGTAATAAACTGTTAGTTTTACAAACAAATTACAATGATTAACTGAGAATGGAAACAATACAAACAAACCACTCCATTTAAGAGCTCTGTTTATAGCTAGCTTTTGTTAATTTTAAAGGGTAAAAGTTGCTGTAAGAAGCGAAACAATGTCATTATGTGATGCAACGCTTTCAAGTGGTATACCATATAATATTTTGCGAGCCTCTTGAATTTCCTCGGTATATAAACGAGCCTTAACGCCAGTGTGTATACCAAGAAAATACAAGTGACAAGTGGGATATTCCATGGTGTACCACGAGATAGCGTTACAGAACTGATTTATACCATGCCATTATGAAGGCCTTATGCGTCCGATGGCNTTAGAAGCACTAAATGAAACGAAGAGGCTTTATTAACGTGATCCAGCCAGAAAGCAAGTTTTCTTGAAAAATAGAGTAAGACTGTTTGAAATCGAGACTAATATACTAATATACTTATCAAAATTTGATAATATAAAAAATTCTCCATGTCGTTTATGAATTATAAGCCCCTAAACTTGTAATTAAGTGTGTTTTTAGCAGGTATTGCTATGGTAACCCATTGTGTCACGAAAATGATCACAACGAGTTCAGCGATGATTGGGCAGTTTTTTGATACAATGATTTTAGCATCAAGTGATAAAGAGCGGTTATAATAACCCATCAAGATATAACTGCTGGAAATTGTTTTGAGCCACCTTAAATTAGTCTTTTTATTTGTTTAAGCCTCGTTTCTCGACGTAATCTAAGGGTGCGGCGAGATAAATCAAACTGTCACATGTACTGAATTCCTTGTATATGTTTCTCTTTACATTTTCTTTGATACATGTATCCCAAACTGCACTAGTCTTTATTCACCATTGTGGTTATTGACTATTCAGTAACCACATGTTCTCTTTGTTTCACATTTGGTACCTACAACTGGTCCGTTAGCTCAGTCGGCAGAGCATGGTGTTGATAACGCCGAGTTGGAACCTCACACGGACCAGACAGTTGCCAATGTTTTCCCCAGATTTGTCAACAATTATGTTGAATAATTTTTTTTTTTCTGTGTTCAACTCGATCGTGTTTTTCCCTTGGTGATCAACGGTTAAAAAATCATAGCCTTTTATATGACTTAAGTACCTGAATGTAACTCCTGACTGTAATAAACTATTAGTTTTACAAACAAATTACAATAATTAACTGAGAATGGAAACAATATAAACAAAACACTCCATTTAAGAGCTCTGTATATAGCTAGCTTTTGTTAATTCTAAAGGGTAAAAGTTGCTGTAAGAAGCGAAACAATGTCATAATGTTATGCAACGCTTTCAAGTGGTATACCATAGAATATTTTACGAGCCTCTTGAATTTCCTCGGTATATAAACGAGCCTTTAGGCCAGTGTGTATACCAAGAAAATACAAGTGACAAGTGGGATATTCCATGGTGTACCACGAGATAGCGTTACAGAACTGATTTATACCATGCCATTGTGAAGGCCTTATGCGTCCGATGGCGGGATGAGGACTGATGATGATATCGCTGACCAAGTTGTGTTCCCACGGATGCTTCTCTTACATGAGCTGTACATTACTCTACTTTAAATTTCACATATGTTGAAGATTAACAGCTCTTCCTTTACACAGCAAAAAACTAGCTGGATATA